TCTCTTGCTGCTTTTAAGATTCTCTCCTTATCTTTAATCTTGGATAACTTAATTATGATGTGCCTTGGTGTGTGCTTCCTTGGGTCCAACTCCTTTGGGACTCTCTGAGCTTCCTGGATCTCCTGGAAGTCTATGTCCTTGGCCAGACTGGGGAACTTCTCCTTCATTATTTGTTCAAATAAATTTTCAATTTCTTTCTCTTCCTCCTCTCCTGCCGGCACCCCTATGATTTGCATGTTGGATCACTTAAAGTTGTCCCAGAAGTTCCTAAGCCTCTCCTAATTTTTTTGAATTCTTACTTCTTCATTCTGTTCTGGTTGAATGTTTATTTCTTCCTTCTGCTCCAAGTGGTTGATTTGAGTCCCTGTTGCCTTCCCTTCACTGTAGGCTCCCTTCACATTTTTCTTTATTTCACTTTGCATAGCCTTTGCTTTTTCCTCCATTTTGCAACCATATTCAAACAATTCAGTGAGCATCCAGATTACCAGTGTTTTGAACTGTGCATCTGATAGGTTGGCTATCTGTTCATCACTTAGTTCTGTTTTTGGAGCTTTGATCTGTTCTTTCATTTGGGCCGTATTTCCTTGTCTCATCATGCCTGTTATGTGGGAGAGGCAGAACCTCAGGTATTCGCCAGTGCCAGGCAACAAAGTTCACTGAGTTGTGATGCTGTGTGTGGGGCAGGGGATCTAAAGGGAACAATGGCTGCTTGCTTGGCTTTCAGACAGCTTCCAGTCACTTCCCCCACTGCCCACAAGCAAATTGGGCCCTTTTAGTGCTGATTCCCAGATGAGTGTGTTTGTGTGCATTCTAGGACCCCATCAGTCTCTCCAATGGACTCTCCTGTGAAGCTGGGCATTTCTCCTGCCACCTCAATCTCCACAGGTTTTTACCTCCAGAGGTTTTGAGGCTCTTTTCCCACACCAAAACCTTTGGATGGTCTGTCTCGCTCCCCAGCTGTTCCTCTGGTTTATTTGCATGAACATGTGGAACCGCCCGGTGTTCCAGGCACAGCCTTGCCTCATGGCCGCTCTGCCCCAGCTGTCTGGCTCCACCCCTCCTACCAGTCTGGATGAATGTTTCTTCTTTAACTCCTTGGTTGTTGGACTTCCATACAGTTTGATTTTCTGGCAGTTCTGGTTATTTTTTGTTGTTAAATTTGTTGTCTTTTTCATTGTATGAGGAGGCAAAGTGTCTCTACCTATGCCTCCATCTTGGCCGGAAGTCCTAATATTTCTTAGTTATAAGAATGTACATAACTTTTCCCTCTTTATTGATAACATATTATTTTTAAAAATGGTAAACTCCATGGGGGCAAGGGCCAGGCCTGGGGTCCATTATTTATCATCAAGATCTAGAACAGTGCCCAACACATGGTATGTGCTCAAATATTTGCTTGAATAACTGATCATAAATATGTCCATTATGGCCCTGGCTGGTGTGGCCCAGTGGATTGAGTGCTGGCCTGTGAACCAAAGGGTTACCAGTTCAATTCCCAGTCAGGTTATATGCTTGGGTGGCAGGCCATGTCCCCAATTGGGTATATGCAAAAGGCAACCACACATATTAATGTTTCTCTCCCTCTCTTTCTCCCTCCCTTTCCTCTCTAAAAATAAATAAATAAAATCTTTTTTAAAATATGTTAATTATGAATATTGACAAATATAATGTCTATCTTTAAAAATAGATTTTTTAGAAATGGGAACAGGGCCATATTCATTTTAAGTATATTCTTATGAATGTATTAAAACACTTGTAATCAAGAAGGATATATTAATGAGTATAGTCATTGAATATATTTATATTCATGAAGAATGCTTCCATAAAGACTATTTCATGAGAAAATTATTTCTGAGATAATTTGGAGAATGTGCACATAAAGAGTTTTGGAAGAAGAATATCTTAATAGGAAAACACTAATGAGGAAAATATCTTAATACAAAAAGAAAAATGTGATGAAGAAAATATTCATAAGAATGTTGCTTATCTTTCCCCTCCCTTCCTCTTAGGTTGGTTTTCTGAATCTCCCTGCCTGTAATCCTTTCTTTGGCAGAAGGTTCCTCTGCCCATCTTTTCTAATTTTCTAGTTTGACATTCACAGCTTTAATGTTTTCAACAACTCTAAGATTGGAAAGGAAAGATTCTTAGAAACGCTTTAATAATATTACAGTGTAAATGATAATGTAGCCTTACCTGCTATTTAACATGCTGTTTGGCATGTATAATGTCTTGTGTTTCCTAGAAATTTCTTGAAGGCAGAGACCCCATATTATGCTTCTTTATAATTCCTATAGTGAGCAATTTGCATGTGGTCAGTGGATGAATATATTCTGTTGAATAGGTCATAATTTTTCAGTCATTTTTGCAGATATTAACCGAGGTAAACTTGGGTTTTTTTCTAAATTCACAAAACTGACCCTTAGGAAGCCTTGTTAGAGTTCTGTGATGATTGTGATATGCTTGTAGTAAGAACAATAACATCCAAAGTGGAAATGGTTGGGCCTGCAAGAGCACATCAACCTGAAGACCCAGACTGGAATAAATGATTTCTGTGCTTCCCTTTCTGCTGTCCCAATTCTGTATGCACTTGAATTAATTGGCTTTTTGCTACATCTTGGCAATAGCCAGAAAATGTCTTTAAAAGCATAGTGCTTAGTGTGGTTAAAAGAAGAAATTCAGGTAGTTTAAGGAAACCTGAATAAGTAATATTGTCTATTAAATAGGTCATCTGCAGACAGAAGTCTTACTCATTTTTTTAAAACCTAACACTTAAGATGCATTAGAAGATCGAACATTTATTTTCCATAGGCAGAGACCTCCCGAGGTAGCCAGGTGGCATTTTTACTCAGTAATGTCCCTCTGGTACATGAATGGGGAGAACCCATTTCATGTACCAGACAGGTACAAACAGGTGGCTGAGTTCTGAGAGGAGCTTCTTCAATCTCTTCTCTCCATGCTCCAGACCCAGAATGGCTCATTTTTAAAAAGATTTATCAAACTGTAAACTGGAATGTTATGTGGGTAACTAAGCTGTCCAAGAGGATCATAAGACCAAGCTCTAATGGGCCAATTAATGGAAAATTCACTACTGATGTGATGCAAAGAATACTCTTTTGCTTTAACCAAGTGGTATATAAATACAAGTAAATAAGGTGACTACTAGCTGAAGAGGTTAGTTTTAGGAAATCTGGTTCACCTTTCAATGTGGTTTGTAAATGGAAATGCTGAAGGGTGATTTTTTGCTTTTAAAAATCTTTATTAAGTTTTTATATAATGTTTATACTGTAAAGGATGATAAAAATATATTCTTTCCCATTAAGTAGACTACACAGTTAAAATAAATATTATTTCCTTATGAAAGTTCAGCAACCAGTTGTTTTATGTAAAGACATTTTTAGCCTCTTAGTTCATCAAATGTCATTTGCCATATTTTGAACAAGAATGAAATTAAATTATAATATTTTTACCAAGTAGGAGTAACAGGATAGAGGACACCTAGTTAAATTTGAATTTCATATAAAAAATGAATAGATTTTGTATGTCCATGAAGTATTTGGGATATACTTATACTCAAAATTACTTGTTATTTATCTTAATTCTAATTTAACAGCGCATCCTGTATATTTACTTGCCAACTCTGGCAACCCTATCACCAAGGCAGATATCACCCCACATCTGCTAGAATGGCTATTATCAAAACACAATGTAACAAATGTGGGCAAGGGTGTAAGAAAATACTTGTGCACTGTTGGTGGGAATGAAAATTGGTAAACCACTATGGAAAAGGTATGTAGGTTTCTCAAAAAATAAAATTTGGAACTATTGTACCATATGATAAAGCAACTCTATTTCTGGGTATTTATCTAAAGAAAATGAAAACACTAATTTGAAAAGATATATGTACCTTGCCCTATGTGCATTGCCACATTATTTACAATAACCACAACATGGAAACAATCTAAGCATTCATCAACAGATGTCTGGATAAAGGAAATGTGGCATATTAGGGCTCACTTCCCTAATAGCCTCCTCACTTTAGTTGAAGTGACTCTCTTAGCCATGTTTATTCCACTTTAATTTTTCTTTTAACAGGGGTCAAAAGGTACAAAAAAAATAAATTACAAAACTGTTAAATAAGCTAATATGTTTTAATCTATTATAAAAACTGTTTCTCAGGTCATAATATGAACGATATTTTTTCCTATTTCTGTTTTGAAGTAACTTAAGCATCAGCTATATTACTTTAAAATGTGTTATATTTAATTGAACAACATTATCAATTGTAGTTATTACAAGTAACAAAGAAATTGTAAAGCTATATTTGAATAAAACATTTCAATTCTAATATTGAAACCTAACCAGAAAAAAAAATATATGTTAGTACAATAATAATCCATTAAATGCACTTCATTGTTAGGCTGTCTCGGTTATGAAAACATTCATCAATGTTAATAAGAGCTATTCAGCTGACAATGGAAAACACAATCCCCTTAAAAACAACTGCATTTTTATCATTGTAATATTGCAGATTTTTTTTAAAAAGCTGTAGATATATACTTTGGAGATAAAATGGTCAAAATGACTTCCTGAAACTATTTTCACAGGTTTTACGTGCTAAATAAAAATCTTAAGAAGTGACTCAGGAGAAAAGAATGTAAAGATTTCTTCCTGAAACTATTAGACAATCTCAAAATGCCAAATAAAGATTTGTGAAATTCCCTAATATTTTCTAATGGGAAAAGGCTTAGAATGAGGACCAGGTTTCTTAATTTCTAACTCAAATTATTAAGCTGAGTGAATTTAGTTTATTAATCTACATGGTCTCCAGTCTGGTCATTTGTTCATTTAGAAGAGTCACATTCCAGACCTAATTCTGTGTAATATAATGGGTTTAAAAATATTGTACTACATGAACATTCCAACTCAACAGGAGAGAGTTGCTATTTCATGTTCCATTGCAGGCATGGACACCAATAACATGTTGTGCCCAGGTTTGCTGTTTAAAAGTCCTCATTGTCATAGCCAAAGAATGGACTAACTCGATCTGAATAACTGAGTGTAGACCCCATTTCAGATGCATACACATCCCAGGTCTCTGCTCTGTCTGTCTTGGAGGAAGCTGACTCTTGAGGAAATGCCACAGTAGGTCTGACGGCCCTGCAATCTCCTGGAATTTTCAAAGAAAGTGACATTGATGGAGAGGCTGTCTTGGTGACTGCAGCTGGAGGGTCCAAGCCTTCTGGATAGATGGACATCGGGGCATTTTCAGGAGCATAGTTACAGCCTGAAAGGCTCTTAGCTTCCCGCATGTCATCACAGTATTTCAGAGCAGGGGGCTGGTAGGCCTGGTAGGACACTTTGGTGGTGGTGGTGATCACGGTCTGTAGGGCAGGAGCACCTGGTGAGGGAGTGGGGAGGTACCTGCAGGGAAGCTCGGGGTTATAGTAGTGGCGACTAGCTATGGCCTGGAACTGTCTAAGGTCAGTCCTCTCCCCAAGACCAGGTTTTCCAAGAGCTGGTTTCCAGCCGTGTTGTTTACTGGTGAAGTCACAGCTTCTCTGGAAGCTGCTGCATGACTTGATGTTATATTGTAGTGCATTCAGATGAACCCAGTCTGTGTCATTAGCATTATTGCTGGAATATGGGCTCAAATTTGTATATCCAGGACCTGTCCATTCATAGCTGCAAGGTGGCTTAGGCAAATAGATTCTTGGGTTTGGATATTTCTGAAAGGGTGGCATTATGTCTCCTTGAAAGGTGGCCAGGTCACAGGTAGTCTTGCAATTATCAGAGTTTGGAAAGGAAATGCAAGACTGCCCTACCATTGGAAAGCCAGTATCAGTAATCATATCAAATTCTTCTATATTTTCCAAGGCAGATATGTTGTTGAAATGTCCACTGTTGTCTTGATCCTCTCCTGCCTAAAAAGTGATATAAATTTTTATTTGTAAATAAAATGCAAACTGCATAGACACTCCTACTGTAATAGAAGCCAACCAACCAAATAAAAATAAACTTCCAATCGGTGGGTTCTGTGTTGTGTGTACTGCACAGCTCAGGTACATGATTTGGGCACATGAGCCAGAGGTTGCATAACTTGAGCTTGCTCAGGCGTGAATACAACACTGCTGCGTAGGGGAGTCCACCGCAGCCAGGCAGGGTGAGTCTGAGTGGCAAATGGTCCTGTTCTCCCTTATATTATGTCCATAAAAGCAGAACACAAATCAGGGTTCAAATCCTGACTCCGTTCCTCATTAACTAAACAAGTTACTTAACCTCTCTGAGTCTCAGATTCCTAATTTTTAAAATGGGGCTCAGTAATAGTAACTTCCTCTTAAGCCTTTTGTGAATACTTCATGAAACTTTAGACCTTATGTGCTTGGCATATAGAAAGTACTTGGAGAGTGTCAGTTTCTCTTATCCTCAAACTAACACTCTGCCTGCTTCACATGCTTTGGTTAAAAAGCCAAACTGGATCAAGTTGCACAAACAAATTTTATCTGTTCTATGTACATAGTGTAAAGGACTCTCTCAAGGAAGCAAGTTAACTCACTGTTGGTATGCTCATTTCTTTCTTTAGACTCACTGGATAACTGCTCTTGTGTCAGGATGCCAGCACACATTCTCACTATATTATTGACTGTGGAGAGTTTGCTTGTTTTATTTTTGTTTTTGTTTTTGTTTTTTTTTGAAGAGAGGATGAAATTTAAAAGACTATCCAAAATATTGATTCAATGACACTTCGTTAGAGATATATAATTTTCACAGATAATTAAACCTTTCTAATTAATGTATGACATTAATACTCTATGTTGTGATGAAAATAAACATAGATCAGAGTATAATGTCAGCTCCCCATTACCTCCGGTTCTCGAACTCTCTTTCTCTGGGGTTGATAAAAAGAGGCCATTTGTCTCTTGATGGCACTCCTCCTAGCTTCTGTCTCTGATTTACTCTCTGGTCTTGGGTGATCATGAACTCCCTTGGCCTGCATAGAAAAGGTGGTAATGTTGGTCAAAAATGATCTCTTTCCCAAGGTCCCAAGTTGTTATTTGTTTTTTTCAAACTGACAAGGAAAATAATTCTTGAGCTTAGAACAGCATCAATAATAGACATCTTAAAAGATTACCTAACAGTCCTTTCACCATATTAAATCAACTATAACTATTACATGGTTCACGAACTCTTGCCCTTCCAGAGCATATTCCTTCCTTTCACAATAAGGGCACACTAATTATCCTAGGAGCCTGGAAAGGCCCTGGGGGGCCCAGCACCTATTTCTGGCCACGAGAGCTGTATTTGGTTCGGTCTAGAGTGCTTAAGGCACATGGCAGGTGGTTTGATCCCTACTGCATGATGAAAATATATATCACAAACGGTGGTGTCACCCCAGCTACCTGAAAAAATATGGCATTGCCTTCAAGCCTCCAGAAGTTGGTTACAGGGTATCCACTGTGCCCTCGACAGGGAATCAGTTCCAAAGTGGAATGGCAGTTTGGGCATGTTCTCCCTGCAAAGCCAGAGGGGAGAAATATTAAAAACAGCCCCGATCCCAGACCATTTTTAAGGAAGGAAAGGTAAATTAGTTGGAGAGAGGGAACTCAGGACTGCTGAGCCGCCCTGACCCCAGGCCCCCGCCCTCACTCTGCTGCTTCAGGCGCGCCTTGTCACAGATGGCAGGCCGCAGCTGCAGGCGGGAGCCATCCGGCAGGGCACAGGCCTGTGCACACACCACTACACCCAGGCACGACTTCTTGAGGATGTGGCCATTATGGTTGTTGGTGTTGCGCATGGCCCAGCCGCTCAGGTGGCGCTGAGCCTTCTTCTCATCGCTGCGATAGATGAAGCGCACGTAGCCATCTGGCCACTCGCAGAAGTGGTCAAAGTGAGCTGGTTCCTGGAAAGGCATGCAAAAAAGGAAGAGCGGTCAAGTTCATTGAGACCAAACTCAACACATTACACTTTTAATTTTCTCAAGAACAATGGAATAAAAATTGGTCCTTTTTAGATTCAGAAATGTTGTAGAAGTCAGAAACTGCCATCACAAAATGCTACTCATCCTGTCTGCAATGACTTTCTGACAGCTGGCCTAATTGATGTTAATATAGTGTTTATCTTCTAAGGGCTGCACATGTATCAGTTCATCTGCACTCATAACCTACAGACAATAGGTGATATTATTATGCCCATTTTACCTAATAAGAAATGGAGGCCAGAGAGGTTAACTGACTTGCCCAAAGTCACACAGCTAGTAAGACCTTGCTCTAGGATTTGAGACCTAGCTGTTTGACTCCAGAGCCTAGTTTTCCTTATCACCATGTTTTAACACTTCTTGTGTGTTTAAGTGTTGAAAACATTTACAGATTAAGTATCAAAGTCCCAAGACAAAACGTGATTAGGATGCTTTTTCAAAGACATGCATTTGAGCCTGTAAATAGCTTTACTTCAATGCAGCACTTTTTCTTCAAAAGCTCTTGGCTTTCTCCCACACCTGTCAGTCACTTCAGCAGTGATACCCAAAGCAACATCAGAGAGGCAAGAACAGCTTCCCTCTTCCTCCCAACTTAGCTCTCCAAGTTTACAAGGGCATCATGATGAAGGGCCTAACCATCAAGGTAAACCCTGATACTGGGAGAAGCCAGGCAAGAACTGGACCTCTCTCCAGAGTAACAGGGATTGTCATTCTCAACAAAGAGCCACATGGTTGTAATAGTAAGTTATATCTAAAATACTGATCACTGCTTTAATATTCACATTTGGTGGTCTTTGTCCATATTGTGCATTACTTATACTGCAATGTTTTTCTTATATATAAGTTAAATATAAAATTACCCTGTAATTAGCTTATTGACCCTTCCCTAAGAGTCCCTGGTACAGGGGTCAGTGAACAAGGGAGCTTGGGCTAAGTCCAGCCTGCCACAGATTTTAGTATAGCCTACAACCTAAGAATTACTTATATATTTTTTAATGCTTGGGGGAAAATTTTTTAATTATATTTTTTGACGCATGAAAATTATATGAAATTGAAATTTCAGTACCCATAAATATGTTGTATTGGGATATGGCCATGTTCATTTGTCTATGTATTGTCAGTGGTTGTTTTCATACTACAATGCAGAATTGAGTATTTGGGACAGAGACAGTATGGCCCACAAAGCCACATTATGGAGTACTTATAATCCTCACCACAATGTTGCATGACGGGCATCATTACTCTTATTTAATAGAAAAGGAAATCAAAGTTAGACAACCTTCTACAGTGGCATAGCTGGGATTTAAACAGAAGATTGTGGCAGCCAGGCCCCACTGGCTTTACTGGTATGACAGAGGCACAGACGAGTGTTATCACAGTAATAAGACCATTTGCAACTTCTCTCCCTTCCACCACCCCAGGAAAATTAGATCCAACATTTGCAAAGCAAAAGTATTCTCAGTTGGACAATTTGGATTTGGGTACATCATTAGTGTTGTGCAGTCTAACAGTAATAGGTAAATGGGTGATTTTGTTTCCAAAAACCATAGGGATATTGTTGAAATCATCATTATTATGAATAGGTATATCTATCTTTTCAAAATATATTATAATTGACTTAAATTAGTAGATTGACAAGATCAATCACAAATGAAATATATAATGATGTGCTATCAACTCTAAGTTTATACTAAATGCTAATATCTTTGTTGTTAAAATGAACATTTCAACTTAAAGAGCTTAGTAACAAATTGACAATTTTCTAGGACAGAGTGTTTTTTTTTGAACTCTGCCCTGTAGGTATACAAACTAGGCCCTCATATCTCACACCAGCTACCAAAGTAGTGGCATCAAAAATGAGGCCACAGAGACGTGTTTTTAAGTCAAAACAAGAATGGAGGACTCCAGGATTGGGTTTCATTTGCTCTAATGTGTGAGTGCATGCACTCACACACAGACACGCATGAACACACTGAACGCGACAGCTGACCTGGCCAAGAGCTTAAGATCGTTATCTAGTTTCGCCCCTTGATGACAGGTGAGAAGCCTGAGACAGGCAAAGTCAGTAACTATCTCAAGGTCATGCAGCCAGTTTAGCTCTATTTCCTTCAATTAACCAAAACAGGGCTAGAAGCCTAAGTTTCTCTGGTTCTCTTTATACCGCCCAGTGCACCTGCCCCTTTTGAGACATCACACACACTCCCTCCTTAAGAGCCAGTCTCCAAAAGGAAAAATTACTCACATTTACATAGGAAGTATAAAAAAAATGCTTGAAAGGGAAGCCATCTTTTGGATGTGGCTCTTTTCTAAAATGCAAAATGAGATTTTTTCCAATGAAGATTTATGTGGACTGAAGTCAATGAGAATGAGATGCCCTTGCTGTATTGTGGTCCACTTTTACAAAAATGACAGTGTGACTGTAAAGTAGGCAGGCTTTAAAACAAACAAATAAAATAAACTTTCTACAAAAATGACATCCAAAAAAGTACTGATCTCTTTGAGAGATTACACAACTTTGCTAATGAACTGCTATCCATGTGAGTACTTATATGGTGCATGGTAGATGCTGAATGAAGGAAAAGTCTCTCATTCCAGTGCAACAACACTGTGGGAACTCCATCTTTGCCAGTCCTTGGGGAAGTCATTCCCATGCTCTCTCCACCTATGCCCAGAACTGTAAAGTTACTCCTCAGTTTTTGCCCCAAACCAGTAGAACAAAACATAAATTCCCTAGACTTGGCTTCAAACCACTTTGTTCCATTAAAACAAAACAAAACAAATCCACCCTTAAAGGTCAAAAATTTTCTTGTCCTCAAAGAAAATGATATTCTTGTCATGTTATGTCCAAAATCCAGATTCCAGAGGCCTCTAGGTACCCAAGACTTGGTTAGCATGGCTGCAGTTTCCTAGGAGCGGAGCTTCATCCAGGTAGCCCCGGGCATCTGAATAAATTGCCTAAATCCTAAATCGTGCTATTTGTTCAAGATTCCCTTCAACCGCACCGCAATTGCAGTCTGTCTCACAGTTTTGCTGCATGAGAAGCAGTGGTATCTACCTTCGCTGAGATTCTCCCTTCCTTTCTCATGGATTACAAAGAATGGATAAAAAGAGAATCGCTTGACTTCTGCTTTAGTTAAAGGAAAGTAAGGATCTAGCCTTTCCCCTCCAGGGGACTGGCAACTTGGAGCCTGATCGACAGTTTCCGCTGCTTTCAGTGTTTTTCTACAGGCTCGAGGAAAGAGCTGTGTGAAGATACACCTCTAAACCCAGCTCTGTCCTTGGTAGAGTTTAGAGAGCTCGGCCATTTGTAGAGTACATTTACATTTGAGGACTCTCATCTGCTTGTTGGCGCGCGCGTGCGTGTGTGCTCTGTCCACAGTCTCTGCAAGGACTTGAACGCCACCCTCCTTCTCTGGACAGCACCACGTGTGAGCTCACGCCGGGTGTCACACACCTGAGGCATCTGCGGGTCGTTGATGTCCCAACTGAGCTTCATCCCATAGGAGCGCACACAGTCCGCCTTCTGTCCCTCTTCCCTCGGCATCCGCCCACCTTGCTAGCGGTCTCTGGAAAGGATCCTGAAAGAGAGAAGAGGAAAACAAATCTAGAAGTGAGCCACGTGATTTTCCCTCTCTTTTAAAAAGAAAGTGGGGAAGGGGAGAGGAGGTGGGAGGAATGGGGACGGGGGGCGGGTGGCGATAATAAGAATGAGAGAATGAGAATTAGGAAATCCACGGGGATTAAGGACCCCGGCGGAGCCCTGTTCAGGCCGCGGTGCTGAAGGCGCCAGGCAGCTGCCCGCACACTTATAAAGGTTCACCTCCCTCTGCTCCGCCTTTCCTCGCTCACTCTCCAGCTCCCACGCTCCGAGCCTCAGCAAGGCTCCCTCTCCGGCTCGCTGTCCCCGACAGAATTAGGAACAGAGAGGAAGGTTAACCTGAGCCCTTGGGTGACAGAAAACTGAGGCGTAGATATTAAGGGGTGAGGGTGGGGGTGTGGAGATTGGAATGCCTCATTTAAATTTAATTTTTTTTTTTTTTCTAACCTCACCCTGCCTCTGGGGTTTCGGATTGGGTTTAGATGACAGCTTTTTAGACAGGCTTTCGAGTCGTCCCCTGAGAGCCAATATTCAATTCAGAGGCCGCTCGGGAGCCGTAGGTCGCCGTGCACCCCAATCTGACTGACTGTGCCCAGGCTCGCCGGGTTGGGGTCGGCCCTCTTTGGGCCTCTGCTCTAGGCTTTTGCCGTAGCTGGCATGCGTGTCTGTGCTCGTCTTTACTTTGGCGGGTGGGGCGGCGAGGAGGGCGAGCCTGACGTCCGAGAGTGCCGAAGGTCCCTGTGGGCCAGCGGGCCTAGGTGCACACATGCTCCCGGGATTGCGGAGCGACCCGGCTCATGGGGGAAGATAGTCCTGAAAAGTGAACCTGGCAAAGGTGGGGAAAGACTAGCTCCGGGAAGATGGAGAACGGAGAAGGGGAACTCTGCGGCCCCAGGCGCAGGAGCTCCTGCAGAACCCTTCGTTTTCTCCTTTGCCTCGGCTCCCTCTGAGCCAGTTTCCTGAGCTGCTTAAGTAAGGGACTGGGGCTTGGTGAGTTCTCAGTCGCCATCCACCTGATACAACCCTTTTGGAAAAAAATCTTTATTGGTATTGTGGAAATACCACGACGAAATTGTATTTACCCTCATTCCATGTGGGGAGGCTTTTCTGGAGACTGCCATAGCCAGGTGAGGGGGGTCGCGGTGGGCTCCTCAAGGTTGAGACAAAGCCTCCATCTGTTTTTCCGCTTCATTAGAGTGATTCCAGTACCTGGAGGCCTCCCGTAAAAGAAAACGATTGAAGTGACAGGTCGCTCATTATCCACGTTGGGCGGAGGGAAGACGGGTTTCCGGAATTTATTTTGTTTTGTAGATCTTCAGTTACCAGCCCTAGCCAGAGAAGAGCCAGTCCCTGAAGGCCGATCTCTGTTAGAGAAGGATGCTCCGAACCTACATCTTTCTAAACCTCAAGACTGGCGCGCCCCAGACCTTGGCATCTCGGAGAGCACGCAGGGCCCGGGAACTAATGCTGGGACCGGTTGGCAGGGCGACCCGGCCAGCACCGCTTGCAGTATTTTTCTTACCCTTCGGTGAAAAGCGGGAAGAAGCAAATGAAAATTATACCCACTACCTGAGCAACCATCTAAGCTCTGATCCTCTTAACCTCCCGGGTCAAGGGCACTGTCAGGCTTGTTAGAAAAGTCAATCCATTAGCGAAGTGCTTTTCAGAGCCGCAGGCTATTGGCAGCTGATCAGAGGAGAATTCCCTTGACCTGACGGGAAATGGGCATTGTCCACGGCTTATCTTCTTTCTCTAGATTCAAGCTGGGATATTCCTCCCAAGCCTTCTCCGCCTCAGAGTTCTTATCTCCTGAAAGGTCGTATTGGTCTGGGTTTGCCATTAAAATCACTCTCACATAGTCCTCAGAAAGTTCTGGGAGGAAAGGAAGATAGTCTCTACTCTTCACTCAGTGGTTTTATCCTCAGACTTTCATCCTATCAACTGACTGTAAAAGGTCACTGCAACCCATGTTATTCAGTTGCTTTTTATGCTGTTTTGTCTTTTAGAAGTTAAAGTAACTGATACCTTATTTTTTAAATCGTAATTTTGTTAATTTGATAGTGTAACATAATGTATACCTTAAAATGTTTTAATATAACTTAAAAAATAAAGTAACTTCTCAGAACACATAGATATTAATTTCTAGTCTTCTTGTAAACAATTTGAGAATATTTCTTGTCTCTATAACTATCCTAGAGAGTTATATCCTTCAAAAATATAAATAAATGCAATTTTTAACGTTAAAGCCAAATCAATTGATCATATCCTTTTTTTTCTAAATGGATTTTTGTGTCCAAAGAAATGTCATAGCGTCTCCACCATATTTAGTTTGAGAAGAATTAAAATATACATATTCCAAATTGCCCTAAAAATGTGTCTGGGTAAAATATGTTAGTGAAATGAATCAAAGTGAAAATATAACAAAATAAAAAGAAATAAATGGAGGTGTTTTCTATTATCTTATTTTTAATTTCTCCTGAATATTTGAATGCATTAACAACCATATTGTTTGGGAAGATATGTTTTTCCTGAACAGACTGAAAATAATGGATCACAGTTTTAATATCTAATAATAATTTTAGTACATTATATACTATATTATTATAGTGTTTTATTTCCTAAAGTAAAATGTATTTAAACTATATTGTGATTATTGTTTATTATCCTTCAATTCTTTCCTACAGTAATTTTGCACTGATTCAGAACATTTTATATTCAAAGCCGGCTCTTCCTTAATTACTATTTTGATACTGTAAAAGTCAATATTTGGATTTGAGGTGTAATTTTTTTTTTTAAAAAAGCACCAGTCCAAATTATTTTTGCCACTGTGTTCACATAACAGGCCGCCTACTTGCCTAACCCTGGCCATTAGTACACATTCGTGTCCTGCTAAAGGACCTGGGCAGAAAACAAACTGGAGGAAAATGTTTATTTGCTTTTTTTGGTTTCATTTTGGCTGAGCACACCAAGGTTTTTTGTTTGTTTTTATTTTTGGGGTTTTTTCTTTTTTTACACTTCCTTGTGTGATATCAGGAATATGTTCCGATTTCAGGTACAATCTGGTTCGTGTGGTAAAAGTTCAGCTTTAGTCTATATTACTATTAATTGACCAAAAACAGCTCAACAGCTGTTAAAGATGGAGAAAAAACTGCCTGCTGACGCAAAGGGGACACCTATTAGTGTAGAAATTTGCACATGTAGAACATTTAAATGGCGTTGTTTACATGTTGTGAGTAATCTCTTCAAGTTTGCGTGCCTGTGTCCAGGTGGCCTGACCAGGGTTGCTAGCTGCTTGCAAGCGCACCTTCCATCTCAAATACTGGATTCCAGTGGGTTTCAGCAATTAGACTTCTGGCGAGGATTGGAATCCAAGAGCCATCCGGGCCCTCCGGGCGCGCGGAATCGCGGGAAGTGGACTGGGGCGTCGGGACAGGAGCCTCAGGATGCAGAAGGTGAGTGGTACTGAAGGACCGGGCACCCTCTAAGCTCTGGCGTCCTCTCCGCAGTTCAAGAGGGGAACGAGGGCGCGCGGTCCGTCCCAGAGACCAGGTGTTGGCTACCATGCCCTGCTGCCGAGGAACTAGCCCTTCTCCGGGACCCTTTTGGCGCTTCCACCTGTTTACATTTGTTTAGAGTTACTGGCAGCTTTCAGTGAAATGACAAAGCAGGTTAGAGACTTTTGGTCCCTTGCTAATGGAGCCCTGGGGGAAGGATAAACTGTAGAATTAATGTTTGGAAGGCAATAATTAGTTCTTTTCAAGTTGTTTCGCTGTTTACCCAGCCGAATTGCACGGCTGGTGGAAAAAAAAGAAAACGAGTCTGGGTTTGGATTTTTGAGTTCACCCTATTTTTCATATTTATAAATAATGACGATAATATTGTAAAATATGCTGACATTTAAGGATTCTGGGCAAGAACAATTAGAAGTAGGACTGTGTGCCCAAGCTAGATTTTTATAAAACTTTAGAAGAGATTTAAACAATAGTTCTTCCTGTTATACTTTCCAATTTAATTAATTATTGGATGAAGTGAACAGATGAGAGATGCTATTATTTATCATAGTGCAATGTGTTGTGAGAACCAGGATGACAGACCCAGGGGTCACTTTTTGAAGAAAACATGTAAAAATCCACTGCTGGTTTGTAAATTCTCTGTGGTGGTGGCTGTTACTTGATCCTTGAAGTTTCAGTATAAGTCTTAGACCACATTTAAAATTCATGTAAATCAGAAACATGAATGACTGGGCTTGAAATGCATCTTTTAAAACTTTATTTTACAAACTCTTGTTCTAAAAGTTTCATTAGTTCAAAGATTTTCTTTCATAGTTGTCACTATAGCATTTAAATATACTTATTTTGTGTGGTTGTTTGTTACAATGATATTTGCTTTGCTTCTTGTGATAGTTGTTATTTGTCATAGATAGTGCTAAAGAGGTTGGATAGTTTATTTTTGTTTAAAGTAGTATCTTACTTAGACTTAAAATCAGGGGCATGACCAAACAAAAAATGTTCTGTTCAAGAAAATAATATGAACCTTTATTTCTTTTATTTTAAAAACTTGAACTGCATTTGTTTTAAATAAAAATTTAAAAAACCCATTTTCATTGTACACAGGAAAAGGAAGGTCCTTTGCAGTCTGTTCAGGAAGATGATGGGAGTGGAATGGCCCAGGATGCTTTCTATGTAAAGATCAAGTTAATTTTGTGTTCTTCGCCCTCCCCCATCCTGCACCCCATGCCCCTCCTCGGCCCCGCCCCCATCCCCATCACCCCCACCCTATACTCTTTCTAGTTCTCTGTTCTCTGGGCTTTCAGAACAGTTGTTTGGGTTGCTCAAACCAGAGGCAGAGAAATCATCTTTGCTGTTTCTCCTTCCTTAATCTCCGACATCCAATTTATCAATGTGTCTTGTGATATGTATAAGCTAGTCTAAGCTATTTTTGTGCTA